TTTATCCATTTTTAGATGAATAATGGTGGGCAGCAAATCATTATAGTGTTCCGATTCCCTTGGAAACAATTTTTTAAAAGATACAACATTTCTATTAAAACATCAATATGTATAACATGCGAGAAAGTAATATTTGTTGTAACTACTTACACTTCCAAAGAAAAATTCGGAATGTCAGCTTTGAAATGTGCATTTCAAAATGCTTCCGGCGGGTGTGCAATCGGGACCCATCGGGCTGAAGGCTGTGCCCTCCAGTCCTCGCCATCTTGGAACATGCCCTAGTCTCCATGGCTGTTTATTTTTATTTATTTTTAAAGACTTATTTATTTATTTATGCATACAAGAGCTGGGGTACAGGCCAGAGTTGCGGGGGGGCGGGGGTGGTGAGAGGATTCACCAGAGACAGAGTGGGGAGCAGAACAGGTGGATCTACTGAAATACACTGCTGAGGGGAGCAGCGGGGAGACAGGAGAGGTCTGCTGTGCCATGTGGGTAGCTCCCTGGCCGGCCGGGAATAGAACTCGTGCTGCAGAGGCTGCAGATTGCTTCACAGTGCTGTGCTTAACCCCTTGCGCCATCAGGGAGGTCCTGGAATTTTTGATTCTGAAACTTTTGGACAGTTTTCTGGGAGAAGATCAATGTCAGTGGAAAAACTGGAAGTCTCTGGAATGTTCTCACGATGAGGCTTCAAGAGTAAAATCACAGTTGTTTCTCAGAAACAGTGCTTGAAGAGGCATTTGAAATATCTCGCCAAAAAACACCTGAAGAACAGTTTTCGTGATCGGCTCTGCGTGGTGACATCTGACAAGGAGACTCAAGCGCTTGTGATGCAGGGAAGATGGCGCGAGGCTGAGGGCTGGCTGGAGCCTCCCCACATGGGGATTCACTTATGAAAAGACCACACGTCTACTCTTTCTCTGTCACGGGATTTTTCCAGGCTCGGGGACGACCATCTTTGCTCCAGTTCTAACCCCAACTTTCCAAGCATTACCGCGAAGCCTACTGGTTAGTTCTGAGCTCTTCAAACTCCAACAAAAGGATAGTACAGGCCGTCCCTCAGGAATTCAGGCCCTAAGCACCACCACCCCAACAACGTAACCTACTGCTCTCTGTCCTGCCCAAGGAGCCAAACCCTAAACCCATAACCCACAGCTCTCCAAGCCACCAACCAAAGGTCACTTTGCTGCTGACGTACGTGGTCACTGATCATTGCAGGGTGGGAGGATTGATCATGGCGCTTTGGACGACTTCTCCCTCCGAGAAGTCCGGGGCCCCGAGGGAGGGCCTGTCTGTGAGCCTCAGCCCTTCCTCAGCGCTTGCCTGGACAGTAAAGGAGGTGCGGGGAAGCTGGGACAAGGAAACTGCGGGGTCCAGGTCCCCCTCCCTGCTCCAAAGAGAAGCTAGCAGTGTCTCCGCTTGACTGCAGACTCAGCGCCACCCCTCGTCCATGAGCGGTGTCCTGCAGAGCTGCCGCGCTGCGCCTGCGCTGCTTCCCCTGGGTTTTCTTCAAGGATCCAACCAGGCCGGAATCCGTTGCCCCACTCGCTGCTTCTGTTGTGCATTAGGGCTTGTTCTTGTCATGAAAACCCGCCTCGTCCTGGGAGGCTCCCGAGAGGAGCAGTGTGACTCAGTCCATCAGCCAAAGGAAGATGCTCAGCCCTGCTTCCAGCTCGTCCAGAGAGCAAAGGCAACACGCCAGCCTGTGTGTCAAGGGACCGTTCGGGCCTGGTCCTCCAGCCCACAGCCGCCGTCCACAAGTAAGAGGCAAGGCAGGCGTGGGCTTAACGCCAAATCTGTCAGCTCTCCATCTCACCCCAGTTCTCTGTTCTCGCCGCAAGTGGTCTCGCTGATTGCGAGAGTCCAGGAGGACTTACACGCCGGCCTTGGCTGTGATCAGAGCACTGGTTGTAATCAACACAGACGCCTCGGGGTGGAGGTGGTAAGGAGCACTCTGAGCCAGCTGGGAAGCTGCCAGAACTTTCTAGGTCTAAGAAACAGAGCTGGTGACACTGCAGCAAGCAGCCTCCCAGACTCAGACCAGGGGCCTTGGAAGGTGTGAAGCGACCAGAGGGCTCCTACCCAGAGGGCGCTGGCCCCCCTGTGCCAGCCCCTGTGCCGGGGATGGAGCCACAGACACGGAGCCCGGAGGGGGACACGGGTGACAAGCAAGATAAACAACGCATATCCTGGATCCTATAGTGCAAGAGACAAGGAGAAGGATAAAGCAAAGTGTTGGGCAGGGGGTGGGGAGCTGCAGGGGTGCTGTCAGAGATCTGAGCTCACGAGGACCTCTCTGAGGCCTTGACCCGTGAGCTCAGGCCTGAAGGGAGGGCTATGCGTGAGCCAGCAGGAAGGCAGGAGCTCGAGGCTGCCCCAGGCCCCACGTGCACAACCGGCTGACAGACCCCGCACGGCCCGTCGGCTGAGAACCCTCCTTCCCCGGGTCCTGCGTGTGCTCGTTCACCGTCTTGCAAGGGGATATGCTGTCGCTGTCATCATTTTATGGGGGATATTTGCCTCTACTGAGAAGTGAACACCGGCCACCGAGTCCAAACCTCTCTGTGGACACAGTTACTCCCCATCAGAGCCTCTTACAGCGTGACTGGGTTGAGGACACTTTCAATGGCGGTGAAGCGACAATGACAACTGACGCAGCACCGCGGAGAAGACTGAGCTCACCAAGGCCAGCCCCGGACTGCATGGGAGGGGGACACGGGCCTGACACCAAGGACGCAGGCTCGCCTGGAGGCAGCTCCCTCCCTGGCTATCGCCTGTGCCTTCACTCCACCAGCAACTTAGGCCAAGAGCTGGGTTTGTCTTCGCACCTGCCGTGGAGTCTCAGCCTGTGTCTCCCGTACTGCCGTAGGGTCATAAGCTGAGTCAACACATGCACATTTAAGACACGGGGGCGAGTTCCACACTGTTCCCTTCACAGCCTGCTCACATCTCCAAGGGGGAAGGTGGCAGGAAGGGAGGTTGGCCAAAGCAGCTTCTCGAGGACCAGGAGTGAAGTCAAAACAGACGAGAGAAGATGGAGCCTCTTCAGAGAAGACGTTCTGAGCAGCTTCCCGAGGAGGGAGGCCCTCTGATCGCTGGGGCCCGAAGACAGACTCAAGCTTGGGCGCTCTCCTGCGGGCAGGGAAGGTGCTGGTCCAGAAGGATCGTCCAGATTATTCATAACAGCATTTGCTGTAAAATGGGGGGGAATCGCGTCACCAACCTCACAAAGGTGTTGTGTGGACCCCTTGAAATAAATGCTTGCGACTGAGTGTGCCTGGCAGGTCAGTAGATGACAACCGTCATCAACACATGATGGCACTTCATCAGGCGGACGGGATGACCAGGCCCCTGCCAGCCGCAGCCTGCACCAGCCACGGAGGGGCCGGCGTTCCTTCCCTAGGAGCTCTGCTAATTCTTTCAGACAAATGTAAACAAAGAAAAAAGTCTTTCCACTGGAGCAGACTGGCTCTGAAAAAAAAGATGATGTTCTTTTCTAATTATGAGAACTGCTAGAGGGATCCTTCCCCGAACCTTCCGGCTTGTTCAGCCGATGTGGGTTTTCAGTCAAATGCGGCTGCCCAGAAAAATAGTTAAACATTGAAATGTCACGCAAGAAAGTCGTCGCCCTTATAAATTTACAAAGCTTTCAGGGAAGAATTTTCATCAGAACGGAAGATAAGGATACCATCTCCTGCAGGATTCAGGCACACTCGAGCTGGCAGCTTAGAGAGGCATTAATAAAAGACCCATCTGGAAAGGCAGGAGAGATGATGACGGGAGGAGGGCCAGGCGTCGCCTGGCCCTGAAGGGCTGAAGGGTGGGGAAAGAAGAGTTGTCCACGCCCGCCAGAGCCTCCTGTGGCAGGCTGCCCCAGTCAGAGGAGAGCCATATTCTTCAGGCAGGTGCGCCACCCCCACCCTCACTGCATTCCTAGCTCTCACCCCTCCCTCCAGTGGGGCGTGGATTGTATCTGGGGAACAACTGGTCTACCCAGCACAGACACAGGAATAATAACATCAATTCTCACCTACCCCTGGTGAAATGGGATCCTGCCCCTCGAGCTAATGGCTCGAAAGTCTGTGCGAGACATTGGAAATGCTTGTGACCTGATAGAAGTGAAAAACGAGGACACCTAATAGCACATATTTTTCTGATGGCACAAAAATCATTCTGTTTGGAAGAAAATATACCAAAGTGAGAGCATGCTTGTGTTTCAGTAGCGGGATTTGGGGGATTTTTTTTTCTGCTCTCCTTTATTTGTCAAATATCTTTTAAAAGTGCCCAGTGCTTTCAGGACATCAACGAAAAATACTGATGGAAAAAACAGCTAAGGTGTGTGTGGGCCGGGGGTGGGTGTTGATGATTCATTTTGGTCCCTGAAGTTTCTGATGTCATGTCTGTTCTAATCAAGCCAACTGAGTGGTGTCAGCTCTTTTGTTTGTTTTTAAGAATTGTTTTATTTATGCAGACAAGAACTGGGGTGTAGGCCAGAGGTGCAGGGGTGTGAGGATTCACCAGAGACAGAGTGTCCCCTTTCACCACAGCAGCAATATCACCCACGGCCTAGAAGTGGCAAGAGACCTCCCGGGTGGGTGGCCTGCCCAGTCCTTCTCGTGTGAAAAGCAACCGCGACCAACATGACTGGCTCTGCCCACACTATGTCTCAAACTCAGAACAGCCTCTCAAACCCATCTCCGAGCCCCCCATCCCCAGCTCACCCTCTTTCCCTTCTACCCAACTAGACAAAATCTCACTGAACCAAAGGACGTGCCCTCACCCCCAGCCCGGATTCTGACAGAGGTGCAAAGTCGGGTCCTTCTCGTCCACTCTTCTATTTTAAAATGAACAAACATTTTTTTTTTAAAGATTGATTAATTGATTGATTGATTT